GGGGATAAGAATACTTTCACAGACCTCTGCCAGTCGTAAGAGGCGACTAATGAGGTTGCATCAGGCGACAGCCGGCCCAAAATTTTTTTTTTTTTGTCAAATATTGTAAGGTGTTCTGAACAAAACTTAGGCGGATTGTCCCATCTCAGATGTACGCGGGGACATCAGGTGAGAGGGAATAAAGTAGTTAAAAACGACGAAGGCCTAAGGAATAAAATGTTTGATATCAACTGGACAACTTTTGCAGTAGCCGTTTCACCAGCCATGTGCACAGTTCTACTCAACACTTGTAGTGCCAACGGTTTAGGTACATTATCACTCAACTCTAGGCTGAACTCGTGTATAAAGGAGAAAGATAGATACAAAGTAAAAATAGGTACTTTGAACAACATTAACTGGTAGAAGTAGAGAATTAGTAGATGTATTGTGGAAAGAAGAGAAATCGAGAGAAATAGGTGAGGGTTATAAAATAATATACTCAGGTAAGTCTAGTACAAAGAGTGGTGTAGGGATAATAATGGATGAGGAAATGAATAGTAAAGTATTAGAAGTAGCAAGGAAAAGTGGCAGAATTATGGTCGTAAAATTTATATTCGAAGAAAAAGAGCTGAATGTAATAAGTGTCTATGCACCAAAAGTAGGATGTGATGAAATAGACAAGGAAGTGTTTTGGAGATGGATGGATGAGGTGATGCAAGGGGAAACTGGCAATGAGAATGCAGTGATAGATGGAGATATGAATGGACATGTAGATAATGAAAGGAGAGGATATGTAATAGTACATGGAGGGTATGGTTTTAGTAGGAAGAATGAAACTGAAGAAAAGATCCTGGATTTCGCAGTATCGTATGATCTTGCTGTGGTTAATACTTATTTTAGAAAGAGGCTAGAACATTATATAACTTATAAGAGTGGGAAGAATAGATCACAGATTGATTATTTTATGTGGAAGAGAGAGAGTGTAAAGCGAGTAAAAGATTGTAAAGTTATACCAGGCGAGAGTGTAACTACACAACATAGACTAATGGTAATGGAGTTGTGGTGTACCAAATAAATATACCAATATTACCAAAATAAACAAAAATAGAAGAAACACAGGGGAAAAATCGAAAATCCGGTGGTGGAAATTTAAAGGAGTAAATGAAAAAGAGTTTGTAAAGACGGTAAAAAAGAGGACGGTGTGGAATGTCAAGGGAGACATAAATGGTGTGTGGAATAGATTTGCTAGTTGTGTAATGAATACTGCAAAGGAGATTGTTGGTGAGAGTAGGAGTAGAATGTCAAGAAACAAGGAAACCTGGTGGTGGCATGAGGACGTTAAAAAAATCATAGAATGTCAAAAAAATTAATTCAAAGTATGGCAGAAGAACAGAAGGAGAGAAGACTGGATGGAGTAAAAACGCTTGTGCAAAGAAGCCAAGTGTGCAGTAAGTAAGGCAAAGTTTAAGAGGTATCAGAGGCTGTAGCATCAATGATAATGAATAAAGCAGTAAGACCAGATGAAATGCCAGTAGAAGTATGGAAAATATTAGGCGATATTGGCATAAAGTGATTGAAGGAACTTTTAAATAAATTCCAAATGAATGGAGGAATAGTATTGTGGTGCCGATATTTAAAGGTAAAGGTGACATACAGGAATGTGGAAATTAGAGAGGCATAAAGCTTAAGAGTCATAGTATGAATATTTGGGAAAAGGTAATAGATAAGAGAATAAGGAATGAAACCTCGGTATCTAAAAACCAGCTTGGATTTATGCCTGGTAACAATGGAGTCAGTATTTTGTGTGAGACAACTAATAGAAAACTTTATGAAAAAGAAGTAAAAGCAGTGTATGGTATTTATAGATTTGGAGAAAGCGTAAAATAGAACACCGAGAGAGGTTTTAAAGTAGGCATTATTGAGAAAAGGAGTCTCGAAGAGAACTTAGTGTTAATAAGAGAAAATAGAGAGGAAATTAATCAAAGGATAGATGTGTGTAGATCAGCTCTTGAAGAAAAGGGTTTAAGAATAAGTAGAAGTAAGACAGAGTATATAGAGCACGAGGTAGGTGTAATGAGGAGATCAGTGACAATTGGTGAGGACGTGATTGGAAAGGAGGAAAGTTTTAAGTATTTAGGATCAGTTGTGCAAATGAGTAGTGGTATTGATGAAGATGTAAGACACAGGATTAAGTGCGAGTGGTTAAAGGGGAGAGAAGCGTCTGGCGTCATATGCGATAAAAGGATTCCATGAGGCTGAAAGGTAAAGTCTATAAGACTGTAGTAAGATCAGTTATGATGTATGGTTCAGAATGTTGACATGTTGACGGTTGACATGGAAATAGAGTAGAGGATGAGTGTAGCAGAAATGAGAATGCTTTGATAGACGAGTGGAGAGACTAGAGATGATAGGATAAGGATCGAGCATATAAGAGGGAGTATAGATGTAGCATCAATTATGGATAAGATGAGAGAAAATAAACTTGGATAGTTGTTTAGGTTATGAGGAGAGAAGGATCGGAATCTGTAAGAACAGTTGTAGAAATGAATGTTGAAGGAAGAAGAAGTAGAGGAAGACTAAAAAAGAGATGGAGGGATGCTATTGAATGCGATATGAGTACAGCTGATGTGAGCGTAGATAATGTGGGAGATCGTGTTTAGGATAAGATGGGCCGTCCCCAAGTAGTTGAGATTGAGGCGAGGAAAAAGAAAATTTTTATAGGTGAAATATATGAATTAATACATAAATATATTAAAACGATCGAATGAAAGAGTTATATTAATAGTATTTATCATAAAATAATTGTATTGATCCATATATTATTCAAAAAGTTATAGCATTATAAAATTTAAAATGTAAAAAAATTTTTTTTTACAAAATCCTATTTTTATTTATTAACTTTGATGTTAGATTTCACCATGAAAACAAACTAAATTTAAAAAATTTTTCATCTGTTATTATAAATTATATTACATAAGCTTGAATTTAAGATATATATAAAAGTGTCAGTATTTCTGGAACACATTCAAAAATTGAGTTTAAAAAATTAATTTTTTTATATGCATTTTTGTATATTTATTATGAAATGTATTATACATATTTAATCTTTGTTAGGTACTTCATACAGTGATTTCTTCTTATCATTTCTTCCCTACAAATCTTTCAACCCTTCTGATTATGTATAATAATAATGCTCCAACATTTTCTATCCAACTTGATTAGTGAGTAGATACAAGTGTAAAGTGACCGTTATAAGCAGAGGTATTGTTATTGATATATTTTAATCTATTTTATTAATAAAACAGGTTTGTTGTTTTTGAAATTTACTTATTTTTTTAAATATTTAGGCAGGCTATTAATTTTACATTTTGTTTCAAAATATATTTTAATTATCTGGGAAAAATACTATAATTATTTTGATCGCCAATTATTGTATGTTATAAAAAAACCTAAAATATATATTATTTTAAAAAATAGTATTAACTTACAGGAATTTTGAAAGCATATTTCGAATTCTACACAAAATGTTTGACTTATTAAAATCTAGTAAGAAAAATTACTCAATGTAAATAAATCAATATACTAATTAAAAACTAAGTAATTTCTTTAAAATGTCAATAATTGTACACTTTAGCTTACATAAAATATAAAATTATCAAAAATAATTTTTCTTGCTCGTATAACATTTTTATTTTATAATAATTAGGATATTATTAAATAAAATCAATGGTTGAATAAATTTAAGTTGTATTAATGATGAACAAATATGTAGAACAAGTGTTTACTATTTATTATCGATTGCTTAGCAGTATCATATTTACAATGGAGTCCTTAATGTCCTAACATCAATGGAAATAAAATTATTGTTATTGGAATTAGTAGAGGTACAAATTCTCGATTTTGAGAAAACTTTCCAAATTAGATAGTACTTTATATTTTTGTTATATATATATATTTAGTGTAATACTTAATAAAATATAACATAAAATTTGTTTTTTTAATTAACCCATTAATGTAAAAAAAGTATAATTTATGTATTTATTCTGTAAAACATTATTATTTAATCATAACTAGGATATTATTAAATAAAACCAATGTTTGATAAAATATACATTTTATTGAATATATAGAACAATTATTATGTTATCTATTAACCTCCTAATTACATCAAAATTTAGGAATTTTTTTGTTTCTAGGGGCTTATAACCCTAGAGCCTCGAAAATGTGTCTTTGTGTAAAACAGATAACTAGCCAAACATCTGAATAAAATTCGCTGTCGTTAACACAGAAAATCGTAAAATATTATTCACTTGACAAGTTCCTCAATTAATACAATATTAGTTGTAGATATAATTAAAATTAGTTATGATTTCAATATCAGGGCGACTGAAATCACTGTCAAAATTATAAAAATAGTGGCAACGTAAACAATCACATTTTTTGATCAAAAATAATAATTTTAAACTAAGCCGATAACTAACTGATATATCTAGCAATTATCCTAAAGTATTTTACACGAGAAATTTGTTTTTCTATCCCTCCTAATTGCATTAAAAATTCAGGTTTTGGAGAGCTTTAACCTGGAAGTCTTCATAAATATATTTATGTATAGAACAGAAAACTAATCAAACAGCTGAATAAAATTTCCTGTCATAACAAGTCGTCAATTTTTATTCACTTAACAGGTTTCTTCATTTAATATATTACCTAAAATTAAACAGCTATAGAGCCACGTTATTTGACTGATATCTACACTAAACAAAATAAAAGTAAATTAATCTAACTCTTTTATTTTTGACTTTCTAAAATAAACGGGCTGCTGGCCTTTTTTTAATCGTATAAAACTTGGGAACGACCACATTATTTTGTTTATTACTTATACCATCCCTATAAACGACGACAACAACATAAATTAGTGTTCTGTTATACCATTAATGCTTTTATAATAGACGTTTATGTAAATTCTGGCCCACATAAAAATACATTTTTAATAACTGAAAAAATATGATGTTTCTACTGACCTGACTTTGATGAGCTTCTAAAAGTTTCTGGTAAGGTAGGGGACAAATATGATGATTTGCTTACAGTAGATATGCCTACCAAAAATATAAAAATCTTATTACAATATTATTGTGAAATTCTCTGTTTAAAAATTAATATTTAAAGAATTTAATTTAATATCATTGAGTTGATATAAATTGTTATACGGAAATAGAACAATAACAAATTTATATCTATTAAAGGAAGTAAAATACTTATATATATTAATATATTCCTTGGTTAATTAACCTCAATTTTTTATAATAAAAAATCAAAATATTTTATGTTTACAATACAATGTATTCTAGAAGAAAATTTTAAATTATTAGAGGGGCGGGGTATTAGCAGCCATTTGACTGACGACAGTATCCATAGCAACAGAATGTGACCCTCATACCAATGGGTTGACAGTTTCTCCCTTTCCATGAGAGGATTCACCGCCGTGGATTTTATGCATGAACTATTGTCGTTATCAGTAAAGGAATGTGTAACTTGCTTATCGTTAAACGTAGAGAAAATAATATCATTTTTATTCGATCTAGTTAAGGAACTATAATTTTGTAATTTTCGAACTTAAGTAAATGAATTATTTTTACTAAAATATTCAATTTTCGATGCTCTCCCTTAAGTAGCCAAAAAAACAACAAAATATATATTCGTAAGTTTCAGTTAGGATGTATAAATATTTTTATTATTATCTTACCGTTAGAAGTTGTAGAAGATAAATGCATTAAGTTCGAACTTTTGTCATACCTACTATTTGATGAATCAATATCTGAAATAATTAGAATATTATGCAATTTTATTAGAATATTAAAATAATAATCAGGTAGTAAAAAAATAAACAATATTTTAAGAAGTATAAAAAAATAATAGATTATAGCGATCAAGGTTTGGTCACTAACGTGTTATAGAGTTACATATTAAATTAGTTAAAAAGTTTAACGTTGTTAGTTTTAGTGATATAATCGTCACCCTTATGACATCCTAACTCATTTATTTAAGTCATTTGAATCAATATTTCTTATTTTAATTTATTCTTTAATTAGAATAATTTCAAAGTTTAGATTCTTTTATATTTTTCACGGACATGTTTCTAACCCCGTATATTATAATATCATTACAAAAAAATCGTCTGTTATTTATGTATCAATACCTAATCTTTAATTATTAGATTAGGTATAGAAAAAACATTGATTTCATCAAATGTAATTTAAAAAGTTATTTACGGTCAAGTAGAGCTACCTTAACTAATATTTTCCTACGTATATAATTTTTATTTACCACGTTTTACTATCTAATTAAAAATTATCATAATAACAATAGTTTATGCATAGATAATACAGTAAACTTATAATAAAATGAAATGTTGAAAAGTTATCGCGTATTTTACACGGAAGGAAATTATAATCATAAAAGGATTATGTACGTAGTATGATAATGGAAAAGAAGCAATAATAAAACTGATGTCCTTGGAATATCATTAGAAACCATTATTATTCCTTTCTCTTCTTTATTTATTATATTTATTTTTTGCGTAAAAGATCACAACGGATGTACTCAATTTTCTTTATTCCTTCTTACACGCCCCACCGTTAAATTTGTTTCCTACCAGCTTCCGAACGACCGGTAAGAGAAAAAATAATGTATTGTGCCGGTGGTGAGGTTCAGTATACAATTGTTCCATTTTTTCTTAGAAAGTCAAAAAGTACAAAACCACTGAAGGAAGACGACCAAAACTCGTTTCCATAGAAACTATTTCCCTTTTCCGCTAGGTTTGCATGTGTTCAGAATAATAAATAAATAAAACTTTTGTAAAATTCAGTATATTGCCGTCCCCACATAGTTTGAATTTAATGTGTCAGAAATTTATATGAATTATTAAGTACACATTAGTAGTTTGACATTTTTAAGCAAGAGACAGTTTATTTAGATTAGAACTTAATAATACGATTCTTTTGACTTCGACGAGAAGGTAAAAAAAAAAAATTTTCGTCTAATGAAATGAGAAAAAGTATTTAAAAAATTATGTTTTTTGTAATCCGTGTAAATGGTAACTGTACATAGAAAGTTAATTTTTTAAAAATCTGATACATTTACATGTATCTTAAATTAAAGTTTCTGTAGTATACATTGAGTCAAAAAGGTATTCTGACATGGTCTACAAAATGAATTTATCGTCGTATCACTATCATCTTATAGAAATTTATCTATAATCAGTATCATAAGTACTTAAAAGTTAATTACAGCACATGTAATTTTTTGTATTCGTTATCTAAAGGGGCTGTGCTCTTTCTAGTTGCACCTAGATGAAGCCTCCAAAAAAGTGTTCTTAAATGAAAAATTTAAGAGGGTTTATTAGTAAAATAGACATATTTTTATTGGACCCTCTGTTATCATTTTTCTCACGATCTCTCAATTTGTGTGTAAGGCACAATTTCAGCTCTTTTTTTATTAACATTGAGTAAACTATTAAAATATTAAGTAAAAATCAATACTCAAATGTATATTTTGTAATAGTACTTACAATTATTTCTTTTTTCAATGTTATTCGATTCTTCTTGGTATAAATCAAGGGAATTTGTGGTCAGGTGCGAGGACACCGGGTTTCGTGAAGAAGGCGTTGCTGGACAAAATGGAGATGAACCGAGATCGCAAGACGATAAGTAGCTACCGCGGTCCTGTAGTGCAGCTTTTGCTTTCTCTACTGACTGTTTAAGCTGTTCAAAAGTGGAATTACAAGCAAACCTATATTAAAAATATTAAAGTTCATATTAAAAATATTTAAATTATTTATCTTAGATTATTTTAATTAATATTATAACTATATATATATATATATATATATAAGCATTATTTAAAATAAATTCATTACCTGTAAGCACAACTAGTGACTCCAACTGATGGCCATTGAGGTGCATTAGACGACAAACAATCATTTTCAGTTTTTATACTAGTAGGTGACGCCATTGCAACCCTTTTTAGATCCAATACATTTTGATATGAACAAGTACTTTCATACATCATTGGTCTACACTTAATTTAAGAAATACACAAAAATTATATTTAAAATTCTAAATTTTTTTTTTAAATTTAGCTTCTGCTATAAAGCTATTAGGTCATACTATGGCTACATTCGGTTTTTACAAAAATGTTCAAGATTATAATTTATAATCTAGTTTAATTTGTTTACAAGAGGTGATTATGTTAGTAGTATTTTCTTCTCAGAGCTTTTAAATATAATGTTTTAGATTAAATTTAATATATTTTTCATATTATAATTTAGTCTATCTCAAAAATGGATTAAATATAAAATAAATTAGAAGAAGACAATTTTATATTTCATTCTAGAGAATATTCAACTTTTACGTCAAAATTTATCGACTAAAACAAATATATTTATAGGCTTGTTTTAAGTGTGACTGTCTCAGAAAGTAAAATATACTGAGATAATAATTTAGTGTTGAAATATCAGGTGAGTATATAAATGGAACGATTAGAGTGCGGTCTCTCACTATATAGATAAAATTGTCATTTTATAGACTCTGTATTTATTAACAAGTTCTTATGAAGCATCATTTTATAGTTATATTATTACTTGGATTTTTGGGAAGCCTTGAGTGAAAAAATGATCATTAATATATTATCTACCATTGTGGAAAAAATTTAATCACTTCCTCTTTAAAAGTTATTTTAAATTCGTATAAAATTAATTCTAAAAAATAAACTGGAAAGAGAATTTAAAACATTGTAAAAAATTATAAAAAATGTCGTGTTCTTTGAAACCACAATCATGGCTCAAGTTTCCGCTGTTCAATGGTTGTATTTTCTAATCAAAACCTTCTCCTAAATCATCCATATCATAACTGCATCCTCCCAACTATTGAAATTTTAATACTAAATATCTAAAACAATTCTCTTTGTGCAACTACGAATACAAATGTTCGACTAAAATTAATATACCAAACAAACATTGTTTACTATAATCGCCACAAAAACCAAGTAATATCATATTAAAATGTTCCTATAGATTTCAAATCAACTTATAATTATATCTACCACATTATACCACAGAAGCATTACAGAAAGAGCAGATGAACCATAAGATGAATATTTACCATAATATGTATAACTCAAAAATAAAGTATAGGCGTCTGTAATGTGTAATTGACCATTAGGTAAAAACATAAATGTCTTATTCAAATATATTAAATATCAATATAATAAATAAACATAATTTAGTAGTGATTTATTAAAAAAAATATATTCCAGTGACTGTATAAATAAAAAAATTTAAATATCTTTTTTTTTATTTTGTGTTAAACATGAGTAAATTATAAGACCATCAACAATTTTTATGATAAATTGTCAGTTGTGCACGATGACATTGAAAATTTGTTGCGTCCTCATCATCAATTCTTAATATTTTGTAGTGTCATTTGTTTGTAAAAATAAAAGGGGATCCATGTATTTTTTTTTTGAAATTTCAAAAAAGTAAATGTAAAACTACGATGATACAAAAATCTGAAATGTTGGTATAGATACAAAAACATGTTTAAGCCAAAAAAAAATCGAATTTTGATGATTTCAAAAGTTGTTATCAATTTAGGAGTTTCCCATATTTATGTAGGAAAGAGGAAAATTTGTTCAATTAATACCAATAATTATTTTAATTAGATCAAATTTGTGATCTTTTAACATATCAAACAAAAAATTACTAAAAAAATCGCGGATTCGTATTTCGGATACAATGTTAACATTATCAACGTTAAATACATACTGACATCCCGACTGAAAAAAAATACCCCTAGTGACCTTATCGCCAAGTGATGTTATCGCTATGTAATATTATCATATTTTATCATTTTACACAAGTTTAATAATACATTTTTCAGTGGCCCAAGATCCCAATTAATTATATTGTTTTTTAAACATTTCTATTGCCTCCCTTATATTAAAAAATTCGTTGTAGCAAAAATAATTGGTTTTAATATAAGATTATTTGTTAACTTAGTGTGAAAAAAATTAAGAATGAGAGGAGTTTTATTTGTTAGCTTTAATGTAAAATTCTTAAAAACACAACTGTTAATTTTTTATATGTTTGTTACCTTTTAAACTGCTTGATTATGAACTAATTAAAAAAAATGTTAAAAATTATCTTTTTGCACAAAATTATTAGAAAGAATTGAAAGTATTATATGAGGCCTGTACACACGATAAAAAAGGGTCATTGTGCATATGTTCAGAGGGTCGTTTTGCTTTTAGGTTTGTTATTTATTGGCTTGAGTTTTTGCAAACAACTTTTCCCGGTTTTATGGGGTTTTCTCATGTAGTATGCTGTATGTATACATTTATTTTTAAATTTGTCGTTTAACCAACATTAGACCACATACATTCACACGTTATTTTTTATAGTTAAAATAGCATTTGATTACACTCAAAATAAATAACTAAATAACTTGTAACCTTATTTCCGACCTTTTATTGTTCAACTTAAAGCCACAGAAATTTGAAATACTATAAATAAATTAAGCTATCTTATAAATGATAGTTTGTAGTTTACATATATTAAAGCCTGAAATGTCCATAAAAATTGTTTGGGAATTAAATACTAAATAATTCTGATCACCAAATTTAGGTACTAAAAAAATGATAAAAAACCCATTTATTTTATAAACGATAACGATATTTTTAAATGGTTTATGTAGGAACTTCATGGCTACTATAGAATTTGTTTATTTATGTCCGGATCAAAAATTGTAATGAACTATTATTAACAAAATCACTCAACAATTCTTAAAAAGTAAATTAAAACTAGTGTAATGAGTATAGTATTTAATTGTAACTAAATAAAAGCATCTCTTCTATGAGATGCTCGATGAAAAAATCAGAGCGTACCTTTTTAAGAAATGTTATCTTCAACTAAATATTTTAGTATTTAAAAAAGTTGTTTCATCGTTGTGACATCGTTTCGTTCATCAAAGTGTCATCGTTGATACCGGATTACATTGTTGGTGTATACTGTCCAATTAAAGGTGTTGTTTACAGTTTAATGGAAAAAAAAACAATTTCAAGACACAAATAACATCAGCGGAAAGTCTGAAATAAAAGAACGTCCGGTCGTAGGAAACAAGCGGTTAAGGCGTGTGTAGCCGGGCCGGTTCCGTTTTTCGCCGGACACACGGTTCGGAAGTAGATTCCGGCGGATGGGCCCCGTCGAACGCACACGTTACTAGTCGGAAATCGTACGGCGAGTGGGCTAAAGCGCGCCGCGACGCCGGAGGAAACATTTACTTTTAGAAGCTCCGCGCCAAATCCACACCCCCAGCAAATACTCACCAGCACCGTCAGCGCAGCGGTATTCTCCCAAAAGCCTTATATATAATGTGAATGTGTGTGCAAGAGCCCGTGCCAGTATAATGATCCGATAATTAAATTTAACAGTCCTGTTTCTCCGGCATTCAAAGGGATGAACAGCTAAGCGCGTTGGTGCCAGTGGGGATGCCATCCGCGGTACCGATACGCCCGTTGGATCCGATTGGTCGGAAATGAATGCGCATGCGTACTATCTGTTACACTGAGATTTCTGTAGACAATCTACCCCAACGCTATCAGATGACATTTTTCTTATATTTGTTTTCCTAGGCGGTCTCACAACTATGCTTTAATCTCCCTTTTCTTCGACGCGGTGGGTAGAAATGGCGCTCGATAAATACGACATCAACAAGCGCAAGTTTTTGATTTTCAATATCACGCTTTAAAAATAACAATATTATCTAAATATTATAAAAATCGATTATACTTTCCTGTTATATATATATATATATATATATATATATATATATATTAATATTTTTATTTCACAAAATGGATTTTTTTTTAATTTTAGAATTACTAAAAATTAAGAATGTGGTTTAATTTTAATTAGGTAATAACAATTTATGTACTGGTTTTGATGAGACTTTGAAAATATATTTTTAATTGTCACACCTATTTATTATCCAACAATTTATCAAAAATAAATTACAATTGAAATAATTATAAGAACAAGGACTCGACCTAAAAATTTTACATTCTCAATTGAGACACAAATAGTGTCAAAATATTTTAACCCAACCCTCAAGAAGGCATAGTAAATAATTTAATTCATTTCTTAAATTGATTTTTCTAAACAATTTTTATTTTTAGTGGATTTAATTTTGTAAGTGTTATATAGGGAACTTATCATTAGAATTTCTTAATATGCTTGATAAATATACGACAATTTAAAGCTTATTAAAATAGAATTAATAAGAGCTTTAATGTATTTTAGTACACTCACTCTTTAGGTTCGTTCGGCTCTTCCGTTTTGCTTGAGACACCACCATAAGTATTTCTAATATTAAGTACATACAGAACCAATTCAAATAGTAACTTTGAAGAAAAGTCTGATGTTTTTTAACTTTACATATAAAAAATAAATAGTTAATTATTAAAAATTTTAATTTCACGATGAATTAATCTACACAATGATTTAACTAGCGTTGTATTGCCCTCGATTAATTTACTAGATACTTAATTTTATAAGAATAATCAACTATTATTCACATAATCACATGTTATTTTTAGTATTAATATTATTTTATGTATAGTAATCTTCAGTTAACTTTTTTTTAGTTACATGAACTATTGAAAATTACTTATTTAACATTAATATGACAATTTAAATTTTATTTCACAAGTTACTTTGCATTAAATAAAATGAAAAATGACGTTTAGTGCTAGGTCTTATTTAGGTTTAAATTAATAATAAAAGCAATTTTATAATTCAGTATTAAAATTTTATTTTATTATTTATTATTTAAGTTATCTCATAAAATAACATATTTAAATAAATAAATATTATATTTCTTATTACTCATTCAATTTAAATTAGGTGATACCAGAACGATAAAAAAAATATGTTAAAATAAATTAAGATTTGACATTTAAGATTTATATATTTACCTATCAGATTAAATAATTTATTTATTTCAATATTGTATTTTTACTTCGTATAAGATAAAGTATAATAAGATAATATAAGGCTTATAGCTCTTATCCTAGTTTACTCTAGGAGAATGACTGGATATAAAATAAAAAAAAATCTTTTAGTATCGACAACAAAATTTCGTACTGATCAATGTATTTCTAAAAAAGGAAAATAAATAAAATATCACAATAAAATTATTACCTTATCTGTTTCATGTTGAAGCTAAAATTAAAATTGAAATTTTTTATTACTACAATCGATACATAATTATAACATTAAATAGTTAGCATTGCTAAACACGTGTGTCGGACATATTTGATATGTTCATAAAATACATATTAAATGATTATCAGGATCAAGCTGACATTAATGACATTATTAACATTTTGGAAGTGTAGTTGTTTAAAATTAATGTGCGCTTAATATTACAACAGTTGTGTTATGTATATTTTATGATATTGTTAGTATTGTGCAAGTTAACGAAGTATGGCGGGCTATATACTCTGCAACGTATATGATTTGTAGCTTACAGAGAAAAGGGGTATTACGTGAACGTTGGGGAATTAGTGGATGAAACTGTGTATAGTTGACGGAGGGGGTATGAGTGGAGTGCACGGTAAAATTCACTAAGATAAGACACGTGCGCGACAGGATCGTAGAAATAGAGGGGCTGAAACAATCCAGTGAATACATAAATACACAATTAATCACTCTCTCGTTAACAGTGCATTCCACCATTCTCTTCCTCGGTTCTATCAAACTCCCCCTTTCTAAACATCCGCGACTCTTATGAGCAAGGTTACAGTGTATTCCATACCAAAGTTTCATTTGGGCAGCAAACTTTATGATAAGTTTTTATCTTTAACCGGACGTCAGTTTAATTAAAAATAAAGTTTGTGCCAAGTTTTTAGTCAACTCGGAATTGTGTATAGTGATAATTCATTTTTTCATACAATTAAAATTTTTTAATACATATATATTTTTACTCTGTCTGCAAAATCCTAAATTAAATTAAATATATATTTTATATTAATCAATAATCTTAACAATGAAATTGTTTATTTCTTGTTATTAAAGGATCTTTTTTTATAAATTAATCTTTTACAATAAAATGATAAGGTTTCAAAATATATCTAAAAAATGTAAAGAAAATAATTAATTTGATTTTATTCTATATTCAAACTTTCTCTGTACTGATTGAAAAAATGTTTCGTTTTGTCGTTGTCGGAATAATACCTAGTATTTCCAACAATATCAAAAAAGTGTATTACATATTAAAATGTATAGCAATAAAAGATGATTAATCTAGTGTAAATACCATTAACATTAGACGTAATGCACAAAAATCAAGTAAAATATAAATTTTGAAATAGTATCACGTTTATTCAATATTAATGTTATTGTTTTTTCCTGAACAATTTGTATTTTGAAGATACGAAGTTTTGTTCCGAGAACGAACAAAAACTAAAAATAATAATCATTCTAAAAAAATGCATTAGTGTAAATACTATCGATAAATTCCTATACGACAAAAAATTCAGTATAATTGACCCAATTTAAATTCAGTTGGCCGTCAAATATACATTTGGTTACTTCAAAATACAAGTCTAAAGTGTCTGTAAACTTAAAAATATAAAATTAAATGATTGGTTAAATTTTAGAGTTAAATAATTAAATTTGGAAGAGAAATTTTGGCTAATTTATGACCATTTTACAAAAATGTAAAATATAAATAAAACAAGATAAATTTTTTCAATAATCTATGTATTTTTAAATAACATGTAAAACTTTCAATTTAAAAAAATATTAAATGTTAACCCTTTTCAATAATTTTCAAAAATTAATTTAAACAGGATATATTATGTTTATAAATCTTAAATTTGTTACTATGGCATATTATTTTAAACGCACTAACCATCAATATATTACCAGTAACCGATGAATTAAGGTATTATTGTTATTTCATATTATTGCATAATAAGAAAAATAATTTTTGTTCGTTGTATGTACAAGACAATTTTTTTTTTTTAATTTTGGAATTGGTTATTCCAAAAAAATTTAAATATATGTTAATATTGCAAATATGTCTTTTTGATGAAAACATTTTGTTCAAATATCGATTTCGTGGTTTGATATAGAAACGACGATATATTATAACGATATTGGAATATTTGTATTATTATAGTTACACTCTTTTTACAAATTTGAAATAATGAGTAACTATTAAATGATTCAATACAAATTATTTTGTAAAAAGTACTTCTCGAGAGCTAAAATAAAATTTTTTAACGTCACTTGACTTAATTGTTAGTATTAAGCACACATTATGCTTTTTCTTATTTTTACAATAGTTTTAGTTCGATTCAATTTAAGGGAGGCGTTCAACAACAACAGCCTAGATGACACTAGACATGCGCATCCTATAATATATTATACACGTACGTTCTGAATTCTGTTATTTTTTGGGGTCACGTGCCATTGCGAAGGACGGTAGCGGCACGTGTGTGGTGCCATGAAAAATTATAGACGAGTGGTTGCCCTCCGTTCCAATGGTAAATTAGCTCGTTTCAGCATATTGTTCGCAGTTAATGGTTCGAAATGTTTTCACTGAGTTTATGTATACCTCCCACGGTCAGAACGTCCGAACAAACATGTGCGCTATAGAACGCATGTAAAATTAATGACAACCCTTAATTCTTTATAGACTTTACTATCGTTTGGATAAACAAGCAATAACGAAAAATTGTTGAGCTGTGAAATCAAGACGATTTACTTTGACGCTTTCTATTTTTGTGTATTGACTTTTCAAAATAAAAACGCGTGTTAGAATATGTGCAATCCTTCAAGATTCCTTATCATTGTAAGTTTAATGATATTCTAACCATATTCTCAAATATGTAATAATAATATATATATTTATAGATTACGAATACTTTAATAAATATAATAAAAATAAAATACATAACTATAGTTAATGTAAAGAGTATAAATTTAAAACATTTTTAAACAGTAAGCCTTTAAGAATAATAGAGTGCAAAATTATATGCATTTTATTAAGCTTGTTAAGTTATTCCGAGCACACCTTTAGCTAATACAAATACTTGACTTTGTAGCTTAGTAATATGTTGTTATCAAGATTATAATATCATGGGATTAGGAGATGTAACCCCTCCCTAAAACGAAAAATATTGTTACACTCATATAATCCTACCAAAATTTGTATGAACTTGGGACTCTTCAAACTGTCTTAATCAAAATTTACAGATGCATATAATTCCACGCCCCGGTCATTAATTAAAAGGGATCCAAATATAAAATATATAGATTAATATATATTTTCTCATGACAAATTTAAAGCTATACATGATATGTACTTCTTCGAAATTTTTATGAAAGCACTGATTTAGGAATCCAAA